TTTCCTCTGTATATTTGATCATCTGCTCTGTGATGTTCTGCTTACAGAGACACAATGCTTGTGGCTGGCTACATGGCTTCTTCCACATGTGCCACTGTGGGTTTTATTTCCCCAGTATCCACAGCATTCTGTTTGGTGACAACTGTATGGGTAGTTTAGGCCCTCCCTCCCCCAATCAGAGAGTGGTCTTCTTCCCCTGTAGATGGGTCTACTTCTGCATCTTTTCACTAAAGGTGGCAAAAAAATATATGCAATTGACCACAGTATCTTTGAAACTTTTTCTAAAAACAGAACTGACCTGAGCCATATGTGATGAGTTATGGACTCCAAATATCTGGTCCTTCTAACATATAAAAATCCCAACTTGACATGGAAACCTATTTTACAACCTGGGCATGGAAACTCTTTATTGGAGACGGGAATTGATTGATCTTCTTTCTGTTGGGATTCCAAACAGTGCTTGGGAGACTTGGGGCATATCCAGGGTGTCTTGGCCAAGAAGCCAGTAGTTCATCTTCAGGCCCTGGGGACGTGATGCCACTCAGACACTGCTGTGCTAGGGACTCCCTGTCATGCTCCTGCCCTCCAGGGTCACACTAGCGATGCTCGGGAATCTGTATGGTGCTGAGAAGCTAACCAGGGTTCACTGAATGCAAAGCATTCATTCTATCTACTTTAGAAAAATCAACTTACTTGATTTCCCCAGCTCCAAGAAACTATGAAGAAGGCTGGGCTTGATATCTTTTTTTTTTAATGCAGCAGAACAGGATAGGATAGAACATAACAAAAGAAAAGAGAAAAGGAGAGAATTATTTTAACCCCACGTATTCCCTGAGCAGGGTTTGTTATCCTGGAGAGTTCTGCTTCATTCTTGTGCCTGTGTGTGCCTGCAAACTAGATCACAACGGGTTGTGACAAAGCACTGGCTAGGCACCTACCCCGCCTCAAAAACAGAAGCCCCTTCTTCCGCCCCCATTCCAAGGCTGAGACCCCACTGCAGTTGGGATTTTCAGTGGAAGCTGCTCTTTTTTCATGCACCCCCTAACAGTCCCAACTCCAAAATCACAAGATTGTTTCCAGTGCTTCTCTGGAATCCAGGGAATGAGGAGGGCAAACAAGTGGTTTTGATGATGAAGAAAATGTGGAATTCATATCCCAGCTTTTGTTACTTGTGAGTTTTCTGGAGCTACTTTTGTGCTCTATTCAGAAAACTGCTCCCCACCTTACAGAAGCACCCGCTCCCTGTCTGAGGGGAGGCCTGTGCTCCCTCTCTGGACCTGGGCTTATGGGGCTTTGAGCTTCTCTGGCCCATTGCTGCTGACATTATCCAAAACTATTTAAGGCAGACTCTGGAAATATCCACACAGCAGCTGGCTGAGTGTGGTTTCATTTGACTCCATGAAGCAGTACAGTATGGAGACTAAGATTGAATACGCAAATAGAGTAAATTTGGACAGCTTATGCTCCGTGTACCTGCGTTTCCCTAATTATGAAATAGAACTAATCATGCTACCAACATCATGGAACATAGCCTGGCTTAATCAAGCTAGCAGCTACAAAGTGTGCAGATTAGGATGTGGACACAGAGAGCATTCAGCAATGTTCATCATTGCTGTTTCATTATCTCACAAACCAGTACAGAAGTAGTAGTTTCACCTTTATTGACAAGAAAATGAGGCTCAGAGAAGTGGATCGCCTGCCCTGTATCCTATGGCTCATGCAGGCAAAGCCAGAATGTGAATCCAGAACTCTGATTCTAAGTTTCTTGTTATGTTTTCTTGTTTTCTCTCCCTTAAGGGTTCCAACATTTAGGGAGCTGTGGCTCCGGACTTCCTCCTGAACAGACCTTCTACCTATGGAGAACTCTTAGATCCAAGGTGCCCAGATGGATGGAATGCCCCTAGGAAAAACATTCTGCTCCCATGATTTTGCTTAGGAGTCCAGAATTAGAAGCTGGGAGACATTCTTGGGTGAGTTTATAGGTAGGTGTGTGTGTGTGTGTGTGTGTGTGTGTACACAGCAGGGAATCAGAAATAGGGTCACTCCTTGTGCTGACATTTTTGTCAAATTCAAGGCCAACTTGAGCATATTGGGTAGAATTCTTACACTTCTGACCTTCTAATTAAAAATCTCTCAAGAGTAATACAGGTACTACAGTGGGTAAGACACTTGTTTTGCATGTGGCACACCTGGGTTCTATCCCTGGTATCCCCTATGATGCCCCACTATAAATGATCCCTGAGCGCAAAATCAGGAAATTCACGTTTCTAAGCCTCATTTTCTTATCACAGAGATCCCATATGCTCCCTCCCTCAGCACTGCCAGAGTAAGCTCTGAGCAAAGCTGAGTTTGGTCCCCTAAACCCATCAATAAATACATAACAAAAAAGTCCTTCAATAACTGAGCAGAGTGGTTTGAGTTGGAGAAGAGAAAATATGTGTGAGGAAGTCACAGTTTGTACCAAGCAGTAGCTGCACTGCTTGTCCTGGATTTTTTTTATATATATAATTAGCCTGTGATTTTTCCATTTATGGAATACAAGGACTGAAAACTCTTCTTGTTTTCTCTTCACTTGCAACCCCAGAGGGAACTGAACTTGGACATCTAATCCCCCGGGGAAAGCCTAAGAAAGAATATAATGGTAGTGGTGAGGTGTTTATTTGTTTGTTTCCTAGTATGATTTGTTTATTTTACAATTAAAAAATCATAGTTTAGGTAACATGGTTACAATGGTGTGTGTTTATGGTATTGATGTAAAAAGTTATTGTACCCTATAACCACCAAAGACCCCAGAAATGCCTCCACACTGTCTCTCTGTCCCTCTAGTTAGTGATGAGATTTTAAAAAAAATTATTGAATCACTGTGAGATACACAGTTACAAGGTTATTCATGATTGGGTTTTGGTCATACAATGTCCCTTCACCAGTGGACATTTCCCACCACCAATGTCCTTCCATCCCCTCCGCATGCCCAGTCTACTTGTATGGTAGATCTTCTTCTTGTTCTTGTTCTTCTTTTTGTTCTTCTTCTTGTTTTTGTTGTTGTTGTTGTTGTTGTTGTTGTTGTTGTTCTTCTTCTTCTTCTTCTTCTTCTTCTTCTTCTTCTTCTTCTTCTTCTTCTTCTTCTTCTCTCCTCTCTCTGTGTGTGTGTCTCTCTCTCAATGAGATTTTAAAAACACAAACTACTTCTTTTTATATTATTCGGTGACTTATTTAGCATGAAATTTTAAGGTTATGCAGGAGTAAGAAGAACAGAAGGGACATTGATTAAAATTGGATGGCAAATGAAGGATCTGATTTTGGAGGGATGGTGATTTAACTTTTAACTTGTTACAATTAAACACAAAAGGAGAGCAGAGAGATTTTACACAAACTACTTTTATCAACAAGAGCTCTCTGAGACGATTACCCCCCATTTACAAATCATGCAAAACAAAGTGTTTGTATAATTATTAACAGACAGGATTCTGAAGTGCCTTTTATTTTGTTAAAGCTTATTATTACTGTTTTTATTACATTCCCCTGAGGGCCCAGCCAGTTCTGCTCAGGGCTTTCTCCTAGCAATGTGGAAGGACCAGATGCAGTGCCTGGGGTTGAACCTGAGTTGGTTGCATACAAGGTAAGCACTTTGCCTGCTGTCCTATCTCTCCTGCCCCTGAAGTGCTTCTTAAATTATCAAAGATGGTCCAATGTCTCTGGGATGGTTTTCCTGATCTTTATGATTGTCTGTTTTTTTAAAACCCAGAACAATGTGAGTTTTAGATAGCAATTCTATTCTTTAAAGGATCTGGTTTAGTTGAGCTTTCTGATTGTGCTGGCTGACATCAACTGCGTCATTCTTAAATAACTCTTGGCCCTGACCCATGCTAGCTTCACCAGGGTGGGTCTGAGACAGGACATGGTGCTCCCAAAAGCCCCAATTCTCCAGGGGTCCTGCAGTGGGACGTGTCCATAACTGTCCGGGAGTTGCTATGGAACAATTCCCAGGCACAGGGAGCGGGTCCCCATGCCAGGTGTACAAACAGGTCATAGATGTAGCTAAAAAAAGAATTGACTTCAGTTCACACCAAGAACTTTCTGAGAGGAACATAAGAGCCCATTCCTGAGCATGCAGCAAAGATCTTCACGGATCTACACCTATTGGGTTGGCTGACATCAAATCACAGTCTCTGTGTGCTCCTTCCTGCCCAACCCATGAGGAGGCAAGGTCAAAAGACTCTTGCTACTCCAGGAGAGTGGAAACATTAGAGAGAGCACAGAGAGGACACTGCCCAGTAAGGAAAAAACATAAATAATCATTTGATTTCCATCCAGTCATTATAAAGTTTCAACCTTCACTCAGAAAAAATTAATGACTAGAACCACAATGCCCATGGGGGGTGGGGAAAAAAAAATAAGAACGGGGACTGGAGTAATGGTACAGAGGTTAAGACATTTGCATTGCGTGTAACTGACCCTTGCTTTGATCCTTGTATTGCATGTGGTTTCCTGAGCACCAGTAGGCTTGATCCCTGAGCAAAGAGCCAGGAGTAAGCCCTGGGCACTGCTGGGAAAAGAAAGAAAGAAAGAAAGAAAGAAAGAAAGAAAGAAAGAAAGAAGGAAGGAAGGAAGGAAGGAAGGAAGGAAGGAGAGGGGGAGGGAGAGGGAGAGAGGGAGAGAGGGAGAAAGAAAGAAGGAAGGAAGGAAGGAAGGAAGGAAAGAAGGAAAGAAAGAAAGAAAGAAAGAAAGAAAGAAAGAAAGAAAGAACGCACCAGTACATCGCAGATTTTCAACCACACCTATGCACTGCACAATGTATTTGAGTATCCCTGTGTGCAAAATCAAGACCCACAACCTTGTTAACCACCTTAATTTTGCAATCGGATTTACCCACCCCACCCCCGTCAGAACACAGCAAGTCTTCAGGGTCTCTGCCCCTTCTTCCCTTCCCAGTGACTGATTCCCCAACCCCCCTTTGCCCTGTGCCCATCCTGCACCTAGAGTCAGGGACCCAGACTCACCTCCAGCACAATTTCCTTCATCTGGAACTGTTTCTGCGCAACTTTGTCAGAAGACAAGGGCTCATGGTAGTAGAGGCAGAGCAAGTCATATTTCTTCAAAATATGCTTGAAGTTCTTCTCAGTCAGACCGATCACTCGGTCCTTGCCGTCATATGTGGGGAAGTTCAGACCTTCCTCTGCCCTGCTGGAGGACAGCAAGTAGAGTCCCAAGACAAACAGATGAATGCTCTTCATTTGGGGAAACATTTGTGTTTCTCTCTCAGAAGTGCTTCAGGCCTGAGAGAGGGTGAATGCTTCTCACAGGCTGTGCAGGGCTGACAGTGAGCAGACGGGTAACCCGGCTTCTATCTTGAGCTCTTTTCTGCACTGAAGGTTCACCTCCTAGGCTCAGGCTAACTGTAAAGTGGGCTCTGTATGGAGAGCGCGGCTCAGAGGGCAGCCTGGGAGCCAAGCCGGGAGGCCAAGCCCCAGATACCTTGCATAGCTCTGCCCGGCCCCTAGCTCATCAGGAGCTCCATTTTTAGGATGCAGTTGTTTCAGGCTAAAAATAAATCCTGCAATGAATAAAACAAAGTTAGATAGGGCAGACACTGTTGAGGGATTTGCTGATACAGACGCTCAGGGTGGAGAAGGCAGTAGGAAAAGAGCAAAGTATATGCCCCCCTGGAAAAAGGAGACCAGAAAGAGGACAAAAAGGAGAGAAACTCAGGAGGAGGAGCAGAAACTGGGCCTGAGCAGAGGGAGCTTGCAGCAAGCAGTGTTTCTGGGCACTGTGGAATTGGCCAGTTTCTCATGCCCCTTCCTCTTAGGTAGCTCAGCTCATCCTCCTAACTTCGCCCTGCTGATCTTGGGGCCCTGAAATGGGCTTCACCAGGCACCTGCCTTTCCCACCTCCTGCCTTCTCTCCATAGCAAGCCAGCCCTGGAGACACGTGGCACTGCCAAGCCTTGGGCGATGGTATGGACACACTCTCTACTGCCAGCCTCCAGAGGCCACAGCCCCAGTGACCACCTTTTCTTTCCCATCTCCCTATCCACAGCTGAGTTTGGCTGACCTCAGGAGAATCTGTTCTCACTTGAAAATTAATTGTAAGTTCAACACCAGGGTCTCAGAGGGAAGGAGCTCACAGGACTGGAACAAAGATTCCTCTTCAGCCTCTGCCACTGCATGTTCCCTGAGCATCAGAGAGGGATTAGTTCCCGAACACCTCTGGGAGGGGCTCCCAAACTAAAACAAAACCAGAAAAGTTCATCACACACAAAACACACCACAAGCTTCAATTTTACAATAACCAATTCTTAATTGCATATGTAACTACACAAGCACCCTAACACTTAATCATTACACAAACATAATCCTAGCCCTAGCCCTAGCCCTAATCATAATCCTATTGCTAACCCAGAACTTAAACTCACCATGAAACAAAACTGATCCTAAACTTACCAATAAATCAAAAATATAACAATCATCTGATATTTTACTTGAATTTTTAACTTTGAACACAGCAAAATTTAACATCTAACTCCACAATCTCTAGTATTAGTCCTAATCTAATCCTAACCGGAACCTAAACTAAACCTGATCTAAAACAATGTCAAAAGTAGCAATTAGACTCAATTAAATAATTGACCTATTCTTAAATTGCATATTTAACAATAAACACAGAAACAAAATACTTAACCCAAATCAAACCCTAATCCTAATCCGAACATTAAACATAACATTATGCTTTTTATGACAGAAGCCAAGGACTAAGCCCCTGTACAATCTCAAATACTAACTCTAATCCTAATCTAAACTATGTCAGACCTTGGCCTAAGCAAAAAACTACCAATTTGCCTTAATTTAGCAATTGCCCTATGTTTAACTCGCATTTTTTTTTATAGTTGACTTTATTTTTAAAATTTTTTTTTTATTAGTGAAACACCATGAGGTACAGTTGTAGATTTACAAATTTTTGTGCTTGGGTTTCGATTATACAATGATCAGATATCCATCCCTCCACCAGTGCCCATTTTCCACCACCATGGATAATATCCCCCCCACCCCTACCCCCCTATCCCCCCTGCCTCTGTGGCAGGGCAATCCCCTGTGTTCTTTCTCTCCTTTTGGGTGTTGTGGTCTGCAAAAGAGGCATTGAGTGGCAAACATGTTCAGTCCATAGTCTACTTTCGACATGCATCTCTCCTCCTGGGAGGATCCTCCAAACACCCTTTATTTGGTGTTCCCTTCTCTATCTGAGCTGCCCTTTCCTCTAGAATGCCCGACTGGCCACTAAGCTATGGAGTAATCCTCCTGGTGCTGATCTCAGCTATTCTTGGGTATTAATCTCATATTTTGTTACTTTATATCCCCCAGATGAATGCAATCTTTCTATGTCTATCCCTCTCTTTCTGACTCATTTCGCTTAGCATGATACTTTCCATGTTGTACCACTTGTATGTAAATTTCATGACTTCATCTTTTCTAACAGCTACATAGTACTCCATTGTGTAGATGTACCAAAGTTTCTTTAACCAGTCATCTGTTCTTGGGCATTCAGGTTTCTTCCAGTTTCTGGCTGGATCTGGCTGTAAAGAGTGCTGCAATGAACAAACAAGTGCAGATGTCACTTCGACTATACATTTTTGCCTCTCTGGGATATATTCCCAGGAGTGGTATTGCTGGGTCAAATGGGAGCTCAATTTCTAATTTTTTGAGAATCGTCCATACTGTTTTCCAGAAGGGCTGAACCAGTGGACATTCCCACCAACAGTGAAGGAGTGTCCCTTTCTCGCCACATCCACGCCAGCATTGGTTGCTTTTGCTCTTTTGAATGTGGGCCAGTCTCTGTGGTGTGAGATGGTATCTCATTGTGGTTTTGATCTGCATCTCCCTGATGATTAATGATGTAGAGCATTTTCTCATGTGCTTTTTTGCCATTCAGATTTCTTCTTTGAGAAAGTTTCTGTTCATTTCATTGCCCCATTTTTGGATGGGGTTGGATGTTTTCTTCTTGTGGAGTTTAACCAGTATTTTGTATATCCTGGATATCAACCCCTTGTCAGATGTGTATTCGGCGAATATCCTTTCCCATTCTGTAGACTGTCTTTGTATTTTGGTCACTGTTTCTTTGGAGGTGCAGAAGCTTCTTTTAACTCGCATTTTTATCTATCCACACTTGTCACAAAGCTTCTAATTCCATCTAAGTTGTAGCAAACTGAAAGATTTTTTCTTGTCTCATTACTGAATAGTAATTCACTGTCATATTTCATTCACTCACCTCTCTTGGGCATTTGTTTCCAGATCTTAGCTATTGAAATAATGATGCAATAAACACAGTTGTGTGTATGTCCTTTCAGTTGAATGCTCTTTTGTTCTTGGGGTAGATGCCCAGAAGCGGAATTGCCAAAGGCATAATATCTAAGGTTATGCTTTCTATAAAGCATTCTTAAAGCTAAAAAACAAAAGAAACAAACAACCCCATCAAAACACAGGGTGGGAAGATAAACAAATACTTCTTCAAATATGACATAAAGATGGTCAACAGGCATATTTTTTCACTGATTATGGGGAAAGTGTAAATCAAAATGACAATGAGGTACCACACTCTATAGCAGAGTGTGGGAACAATCAGTGTTGGGGGGGTGACAAAAAAGGACCCTCATTTACTGCTGAGACTGTTGAATGGTTTAGTCTCTTGGGCAAAGATGGTTTGGACTTCTCAGAAAATTATGAACAGAACTTCCATATTTCTTTACTGCATTAACTATTTATATCTGTCACACTTGCCCTGTTGCCTTCTCTAGACATAGACTCATATGTAGGGACTAGAACTCAAATCTCCTTACAGGCAAAATGCACTTTGGAGGGTCATACACCATTTTGGATTGGCAGTTCCTCAATCTCAAACACAGATAGTGATGACAACATTGTAAGGACATCAAAGGACAGAAGTGGACTCACTGTAAGAATGGTAAGGACAGAAATGGACACTTGGGGGGTGCACTGAATATAGTACAGAAATGCAGAAGCTGATCCTTAGTGATACTCCCTGAAAACTGGTAGAACGTTCAATGCAATACTACTTCAATTTCAAAATGTAAACCCGAAAAAGGTAAAGATAAAATAATAGCTATACCATAAAGTTTGGATCACAAGCCAGGAAAAAAGCATGGGACAAAGCAGGTACCCAGCCACAAGGCTACCTTTGATGATAACTTGCCAGTGTGGGAGAGTAATAGCTTGGGAAATCTTTCCTGCCCATTTCCTCCTGAGTTCAATAGACAGGAGTGATCTGGGCTCACCTAACAGGTGAGAAAGAGAAATTAACAACCTGGATTGCACTGAGGACTCAGTTGGAGAGTTCATCTGTCTCCAGGGGAAACCTGGTAGCTTTGGGCAAATCCGTTCCTAATCTCCTTTTTCTGGAGTGACTCCTTGACTATCTCTTCCACTCCAACCATAGTCCAGTATGTTTGTCCACTCTGGTATGGTCTCTGGCGCTGATAAACTAGGTCAACTATATCTCACCCCCTAACCTCCACCTCCTTTCGGTAGAAAAGGCAGCCTGGGAATAGTGAGGGGTCCAAACAACAGGGCTAACGGGCAGAGAAGAAAAGGTCAATGGTCTGCATGTTGAGGCCAAGTGCTGGCCTGCAGCAAGAGTTCTCCCAAGGTAAGAGCCAGCAGCTGTGCACATTCACAGCCATGAAGTCAAGGTCTTGGAGAATCTGTTGCTGAACCCTTTCTCATCAGTGCTCACTGGACCATGTGTGCTGGGTATGAAACCCAGGCCTCCTGCAGGCCAAGCATGTGCTCACCCTGCTGTGTTCTCTCTCAAGCCCAGTGCAACTCTCCTTCCTTTTGAAAAGTTTCTATGGAGAAGAAACTCTCTTTGGAGGTCTGTTCTCCCCGACTCTTCTAGTTCTCAAAATCTCACTGTATTACCTTGTTCAGAATCTGTCCTGCTTCTTATAATATATCAGTTTTCAATGTCACTGAAAAAAATTAAAACCTGAGAGATGTCTAAAATCAGATCATAATTTCCAACTTGATGACTTGATGAAAGGCGCCGGGCAGAGGGATCACATGATTATTTTTAGTTTAATTCTTAGCTCTGGCTTAAAACCAACTGACCATGAACAGTCCAACTCCAGACTCTAGACTCCAGGGGAGTTGGGAGGGCTGGACAGAAGTCCTAGCCTTAAGAAGAGATTTCCCTAGTTTGAAGTGCCTGCCTTTCTCTGTCTGCCATTTCTTTTCCTACTGTTGTTTTTTCGTTGTCCTACAGTGCGCCAATGCTGATGAATTTATTTCAAAACTAGGATTGTCTTTGACATTCCAGTCTCAGCACTGCATCACACAGCTGTTCTTTCACCCCAGTGCAGCTGTGGGTCGGTCAGGGTGCCCTGGGCTGTGGCAGGGTGCTCATGTAGCCATGTGCATTCTCCATGTGCTGTGCATGTGGGGGAGAAGT